AATCAATTAACTGCCCACAGATCGCCTTTCTAGCTTTTATCATGCCATCTGAACTTAAGCCCAACTCACGCTGACTTCAAACTCTGTTTCCATATTATGACAGTTCCAGAGAAAAGGAAATATTTATTATTTAAAGCTTTGCCATTTGCCAAAGTGATAACACCCCGGTCACATGATAAATGGGTACAGGGAGAGTGCTAATGACTGGACTTCCTCCAGCCTGTGGTTTATCCACTTAGCTCACTTTTAAACCACAGCATGCAGAAAAACAGACGAACGGACGGAAATGTGAAAAACATTGATTCAGACCACGATGAGTGACTCCTCTTCCCAGCGGTGCATGACTCACGGCACCATGAAGTGGTAATATTATGGGCTATCACCTATATAAGGGCTGGTTGGCCTTATAGTTCAGTGCTCCCATCAACCCCAGCGGTAATGAGGGGTGTCACAACGAATGAAGGAAAGGAGCATAAAGGAGCAGAGTGTTGTTCAGAGACAGACAAAAGAAAAGTTTAAACCAGTTGTTCTCTTTTTTCTTCAACGTCCAACACCAGAACAAAAAGAGATCCACGATTCAGTTTTAGTAAATTAAAAGGTCGGCATCACAGTCTGAGAACTGCTGGTTTAAACAGAGATGAGCAACATGAACAGAAACCAGTTGTGAAGCAGGCACTCAGCTACATTCATGGCAAAAAGGAACCATCAGAGCTCGAAGCCACATTTGCACCCCAGAGTCACACCGACTCTCCAGTTTCCAATCCGTGTTGGGCAGATTAGACTTGCTAAGCATGTGGTAATTAGGATATAATCTGAGAACCCAGATAGTCTGATGATCGGGCCTCTGGAGTTAGTGGCCAATTTTTCTGGGCTTCCAGTGCAGCCGGCTGATATCTGGGGAAAGATTCCCATTTCTGTCCTCGGGGCAGGTTTATGGATGCAGATTAATAAAAAGAAAAACTAATAACAACAGCTTTTTAATCAGGTTTTATTAGCATCAGAAAATAGCTGATTGGATCCCAGACTGGGAGTATTTACTCCGTGCCATCTCAAACATGACCCATCAGCAGAATACTTGAGTTTGTCCCATGTATGTTCATGGAGATTAATTAGGACCAAACACAAATTATAAGTAAGGCTGAGGGGAACTTTGTCGTATGGATGCACGGATTGTGTAATTCTGGGCTTATGCAGATGTTTTAAAAAGTAAATGAATACATATGTGGCTATTTATTCATTTCAAAATTAAAACCCCTCCAGGGACTTTCATTTCAGAGCAATATCTAACCCAACTTTAACTCCAGGGGACACTTGGACTTAAAAAAATAAAACAAAAACACATGTATAGAATCACCTGACCAGTCGGATAAAAACTGGTTAAAACGTTCAATGACTTTGCCCTAAAATAAGATTTAAAGAAACTTTTTACCCCACTTTTCCCCTCTTACATCATCATCTTTGCCTTTGCTGACATCTCAGATTTAAGTATCATGTCTGTGGTTTCCACGAGTTTTGAAGCAAATATCAAGATTTCAGAATCGTTTACAAATGCAAATACATAAAAATATATCTCAACGTTTGCCTGCACGTGACCAAAGGCTGCAAAATATTATTGTCCAACATACTGCAAATGGATTGCATACGGAAACAAGAAAGGTACAAAACTCTTGCCCCTATTTACAGAGATTAAACAGACCCTTGGAGATCGCTTAAGAAACAAATGTGTAGCTGCAGACAAATGAGCATCAGCACAGAGCCTACAGTACTGCAAGAATCAAGATAAAGCCCTGACCTGATGGTGTATGACAGGTGGAAGCTATTTAACGAATTCATTAAACGTGGATCTTTCTCAGAGGCACCACATAAAAAGTCAAAGCAGGCACGATTTAGCTGCATGTTTGCACATAATTCATCTAATAATCTAATAATTATCACAATATTTTAGTCTAAAATAAAACCGCGGAGCAAACCTGATCAGACGAAGCTATTACACTAAAAACTACCCAAAGAAGACCCTCAAAGAGTTTAATGGAGCTCATTTGGCTCTGCTAACATACAAGATGTCCTCCATGTCGGCTGAGACACCAACTTCTTAGCTTGTGTACCATCTATAGTCCAGATTTGTTCACAGCGTTCACCAACAACTCAGCGCCTCAGGCCTGAATTATTCAGATTTCCCTCCTGAGATTGTTGATGGGTAGAGCAGCACGTTAACGGATACTTATGAGTTTGAATGTTTTGAATTAGATCGCTTATAAAATGTGTTTGTAACTGAAATGATCTGGTTCCACAGATGCCATGAGTGTAACTGCAAAACAGGCAAGACAGCAAATGCACTCTGATCATCTCATCACATGATTAACAGCTCACATCAATACAAAAAAATAAGAGGAGGAGACAGTAAAAGGTTTGGTAATGCAGGCAGTGCATCAAGCAGCAGCAATTTCATTACAGCCATAAAAACAAGGAAAACAAAAGGTTTTACATGCTGGAGAAGAACAGGAAGAGGAGGAGGAACAGCACACGGGGAGTGCATCCAACAAAGGAGGTGGAGTTAAAAGTTTCAGTCCATCAGAGGAGGAGCAGGAAGAC